TTTATTATTGTCATATATTAATATACAATCTTTTTAAATATAATATAATTTTAATATTATCATACTATATATTTACTATACAATACTATATATTAATGAATAATCCTGAAAATCACACAAACACACCCTTACTCTGACCAAACTTATATGAGAAGTTAATTTTAAGGCCTTTATCTTCCCATTACAATCTAGCAAGAAGTTACTTTCAAGAGGATGAAAGAGTGCTCTACATATCAGTCTACAAACTACGGCACTTGTTTAGAAATATAGTTCAAATTATGGAGACCTAATTAATTAGGTACCCTGGTATACTTTAAGAATTTTATAAAACCACATATAAGGGTTGGGAATAAAGGTTTGATGGATAGGAAAATAACCAAAAAAAGTAACGAGGAGTCACACACTTTAGATCCCTTAAGCATCATAACATATTAAGCGTTTAATTGCAAAATACTACTATAACAAGTCTATTAGAAAAAATTTTCGTTACTGTATCGAATAATGGTTATCTCATAAAAGAGATTAAAAGGTACATATACGGCTTTAATTTATTATTAATCTAACTACGAGTAAAAGTTATAATAGGATACTCAATTAGAATTTAAAATATGATTGAACTCTTAATTCCACTAAAGTTATAATAATAGACTCTGAAGTATTACAAAAAATTTCAGATTTTTAACAAGAATATGATAATTAAATCTATTAGGAAAATTTCAATTCAAACCAGTCTGTATCATTTGCTTGTGAAGACATTCTCGTAAATTGATGGTCAATGGACTAAAATTACTGGCATTTGAAATCAAAATATAAAAGAGCTCATGAGATGGTGAAGTCAGCTATTTCAAGATCAATAAATCAAAGATAGAACGCTAAGTAAAAATAACCAAAGACATATCACCAGGACTTAAGGGATCTTAGCTATAAGTATCAAAATGGACACAATTCTTACGTGATGCTGGTATTATAAGTTCGGGTCTGCAGAATATTGTCATCATCAGGTTCATGAGCCACGAGATATATATTCTGCGGTGTAGCTTGCATAGAAATGCTGTCAAAATTCAAAATACAGCAGAACAGGCAAGAGAGGATCATACATTGAACAGAAAGACAAACCATTCTCAAAAAAATTTGTCAAAATATAGAAATTCAATCACTATCAAGAAGAATGTTCCTATCTTTACAAATAATAGTTGGTAAAATGCATAGAAAGAGAAGTGCAAACCATTGACTTTTTAAGCTCCAGATCAAGAAATTTATCAACATTTAGAATTTGATGTACCTGAAAGTTGTTTCTTTATTTACAACAAACAGTTGAACTCGTTTAGTTAGCATCGTTGTCACAAAACCATACAACAATAAATTAAATTTAGCTTTAGCTATTCTCTTACAGACTTGAGAGTTTACTTTTCAAGGGGAAGGAGAGTAAGGTAAGATACTGAGTTAAGATCATCACTATTTGGTCGTATATAAAGAGTTAAAAAAATTAGGTAATGTAGTAGTCGCCTTATGTTTAAAATATCAAAAAAAAACTCCTCCAAATATAAACAAAATTAAGACCATATTCACTTCCCATATGTATATATATATATATATATTAAAAAAATATAAAAATTAATTTAATTAAATATTAAAATAGAGCCTACTTAAAAAATAAATAATATAAAAACAAAATTATTATTTTAGCCTTTCTTACTCGGGAGTAATTCTTTTACATGATTATAGTTTTAACTAATCTTCAGCCAGCTGTAATCTATTTAATATATTTGTACTTATTTAAACATTGAACTTAAAAAACATTATAACCGATTTTAAAAAGATTGAAAATTGCCAATGAGAAATTCTTACATCACTACTCAATCCAACGCCATATAACTCTTAATCAAGAGAAGAAATCTCATCATACAACCGATCTTTCCGGGAGCCCAACAACAAGACGCCCATTGCTTTTCTTCAAACCATCCAGATCTCTACACCCATCAAGAATGGCGGAAAGCTTGTAAGGAGGAGCATCATCGGCGAGCCACTGGTCCACGTAGAAGATAGTCTGAGAACATTCCTTATGGGGGCCAGTGGAAGTGACCTCCAAGTACTCGCAGTACCAGCCATGGTGAGGCCCTGAGCCGTCAGACGTCAAGTTGAGCCGGCAGATGGGCGAGGCTATGCAGGGGCCGCGGCCACTGAAGATGTCTAGGTTGCCGCGCTCGAAGTAGTCGTAGTTCGGACCCATTAGCCCCCATGATTCGATGTTTGGGATCTGTACGGACCGACCCTGTGCATCTCCCAGAGTCACGCTGATCTTGGAGTCCGTCCCGGCTTTGAAGATGGAGCCTGTTCTTATATATAGGTTATATACACACAAATTTTCCTGTACGAAAGAATTAACAACGGTTAAAAATTTTGGCATGAGAAATCAGTTTTTCTTCATTTTTCTGGGTTAGATCATATGATGAAATGAAGTGGGATCTAAATTTCCATGGGATGGGATGGAACTGAAAATGTGAAAAGGAAAATGCGAAGGGTTTCGAGATGTACTTACAGTGGAGGAGTCTCCATAACCTGTAGTTGCGAAGAACAGAGGGAGTAGGAGCAGTAGTGGGAGGTGGCAAATGATCTTCATCTTTCGATCGATCGACTTCTCTCTCTGTCTACCTATGGGCTAAAATGCAGATCAAGGCATGTAAATGCATGTATATATATATATGCAAATATATGTATGTATAGAAGATGGATATATGATATATGACTCTTTCAAGTCTAATTTTAACCATTATTTTTTTTTGCATAATTAATAATTATTGCCCACGTGATCTCTCCCTTTTTCTAACTATTAATTTTTGTGTTCAACCACTCCACTTGTATTGTTTTATAAAATACAATATTTGTATTTTTTTGCATTTTATATATATAAAAAAAAAAAAATCAACATTTCTAAAGCTCCATCCTGAAATTCAAAGACAACCCCCCACGTGAACCAGATTTAGAAGATAACACCAAAAGTCTTGCTTGTATAAATTATATATAAAAAGGTTTCTTGTATCAGATTACAATAATACACATGACCGATTATTATATTTTACTAACTTAATTATCAGCTAAAAAAAATTACAACTTCAATATTTTGTGACACATCACACACTTTTGATAACATATAAATTCATGTCTTCAAAATTATATTTAAATAAGAATATTAGATTTACAAAATATATAAAAAAATCTTCTTTACCTATCTCAGCAATAACATATTTCATATCTCAGCTGGCCTAAATAGCTTTGATCTTATACCCTTCAAATTCTATAACTTTTGTATTATTTTTATATAAAGCCATTAGTTTTTCGAAATAAATATTTACACTCGTCTAAGTTTTTAACAAACGTACATTAAAGGTTAACATAAATTAATCAAAATTTAAAAAAGGCCGAATAAACTCGTATAATTTATACAGAATTGAATGCAATATTGTCTTCATATGTGTTTGCGTCAATTTTTAAAATCATACAAGGTCACATATACAATCTGAATAACTCACTCCTTACTTGACTGCGGCAAACAGTTCTTGATTTTTTTTTTTTTTTTTTTTAAAAAAAAATTACTGCAAATAAATTCATAATCTTATATAACTCTTTAAAATTACATTAAAGAGAGCCATAATATGTACAAAGAACAAAGAGTTGCAGATAACGTAACCAAATCCTGTTTTAGTTCCTCCATGAAAACCTGCAGCGTTTCCATCTGGCAAACCCGAGAGAAAAGAATCAAGGTATAATCACCCAAAGCAGCAACAGGAAAAGGAAAAGAACAAATAGAAGCCAGAAATAGAGTCCCTCCAGATCTAACGCTGACACACAATAGGCAATAACTCCCATGTTCAATCAAGCAAGTACCATTTGGCTAGCTGTTTAAACATTGGCAGTGGAATAATGACACGATGATCGTGGCAATTATCTGAAATCAGTTGCTTGAGCTACCGAGATCAAAGTCCATGGTGTAATCATACTCAATCGTTGGAATTACAGAGGCCACGAATTTCAAGAATAAGAAAAGATACCTACAAAGCATTTGATAATGAATTAATGATGGCCCAAGACGCTCAACCCAAAAAAAAAAAAATTAAGTTGCAAAGTTTCATCAGAACAGAAAACTAGAAGTAAGGGTCAGAATAAATCAAGCTGCGACATGCAATAGGTAGCAGGAAATATGTATACACTGGACAGAAATTAATGGAGTCATTTCAAAAGATTAATGAATTGATAATTTGAATTGTCTAAGTGACACTCAATGTGGCAAGAGATGGTTCCAAATAAAGTGCATATCCTTGTTAGAGCTATTGATGAATAGCATAATTATCAACAGGAGAAGAGAAAGCATACTTGTCAACTTCAGGCTCCACGCCACGCAACATTAGAACATCAATAATTTTCTTCATAACAGCTCCATGTCGACAAGGATGAACAGATGCATGCTTCCCAGGCAAGTGAGGATGATCCTCAATGGTTACCTATGTACGTGTCTTAAAATTTAAGACAGATCCAATTCTTGGAAAAATATAAGATAATCACAAGAAAATTTGATGTACATGGAGAATTAGCAGAAGACAAATACAAAGAAAAGCATATTCATTTAAGAAACTTATCTTCAACTATTCAAATCTACCAGGAGTTTTTTCTGCATAACAAGCAAAAACTAAACAAGGCAGAGTTGATTAGCACAGGTATCGTCAATCAATGCACAGATCATGGAACTAAGACTTGTTAGTTTTTGTTTGTCTCATGTAACGGATTACAATGGTTGTAACTCTTATCCCAATGGCTCAATCAAAGAAAAAGCATTCATCAATGCTTGTATAGGAAAATGATTCATCCAACACAACTGATTCATCCAACACAACTGATTCATCCACAACTAAAGAAAAAAGTATTTAGCATTATATGGCAGGAGCTTGTTTAAACTAAGTTTATAAATATCTGAAATCTGTCTTCAGCACCCAAAAACACTGTAATAAAGATGGATCCCCTAAGGGGAGTCCAATCCATCTCAGACATGGGATTCCAAATCTCACCGTTTTACGTGCATGGTCTTGACTGACATCCTCGAGGACAAGTTCTGGCTGCAGTAGCATCCTCGACTGCCATAGAACAACAGAAGATGCTAAGCATTTCCACTAACTATAACCTTTTTAAGGGAAAAAAAATGCTGTAACTATAACAAAATCAGAAAATAGACTACCAAACATAAGAGAAAAATAAAATAGAATTAGAGCACGTCTATAGAGATTTATATCCCCAATATTCTTAAAAGAACGTTTGTACTCGAACGCTATGCTGTACAATTGGTGAAGCATTCATGGTCAGAAAACACGCTTCGGACAGGCTTTTTACGTATAAGAGGCACAACAGATTTATTTACACAAAATCTAATGTTAGAAATAACCTGCCGAAGTTCCAAAACAGCTGTTCAGATATTGAATTACTCACCACAATTG